TCCATATCCTTCCATTTTCATAAGTATATAACATCACATGCATTATCAAGGAGTGTATTTCATTACTTTCTACTTGATTTTTTTTTTTATCGATTCTGCGCTGACAACCCATGTAATAAAGTATACAATTAGACCATCACATTTTGGACCATATTAAAGATAAACTTAGGAGTTAAAATAAATAGAACAGATAACAAAGCGCAAGCAGACTCTACTATATTGTATTGTAACAGAATAAAATAGCCTGCAGACAATTTTTGAATGTTGAATCAAATGATTCATGGAATTACAAAGAACCCACAGCATTCTTTGGTATGTAGCCAAAGTGGTAATCAGAAGCAAACTAATTCAATGTTTTGAAAAATACAACCAACCAAATAGAATAGGGAAATAAGTCAATTAGAAAAGAAAATGACAGCATTAGGAAAGAAGCATAAACATAATTAGGTCTAACTAGGCAGTCATAGCTGGGCTTGAATGAAAGTTTAACTAATAGGAATGGATGAAAGTTACAAAATAGGGCAACAGATTTTATGTAGACCTATGCAAGTGAAGTTAAAAAAATAAAGTCTGTCCCAAACAGTATACTAAACAGAAGATAGAAAAAATATTAGAACATTTTAGGGATCCATTTCTTTTTAGTATCTAAGAAGGAATGTAAAGATCTTCATTGCTGCAGCAAATGACTGATCGTTGGAAACTGGCCAATCGTAAATACATACATATGTTAATGTATACACATACACATATTTTCTCTTTTCAAATGTGGATATAAAATTACTCCTATTGCCAGTATTGATTGCAATACAAGCCCTATTGTCACTTTCTGAATCTGTGTCGACTGTCCCTGCAGGCTCTGAAGTCCCCAAAGGAGTAGTCCTTTCTAGAAGCTTTCAACTGTTTGTCCATCAGTTCCTGGTGATCATGGTCACCAGCAAGCATGTTTAGGATCATGTGGTGATCATGTGGTTAATCCTGCTATGTGTGTGCCCTGTAGTTTTTCACTGGATAGACACCAGCACCTGGGCATCTGGCTCTAGACCCTGCCCGTGTATCCACAGAGAATCATCGGGTGGTGCTAACATAAGAGGACTTCCTAAGAGATAGCTGGTAAGACAGGCTGATCCTTGTGAAATGAAGACCAGAATGTATCAAAGCTAGTAAAGAAAGTACAAATGGGCTGCTGCAAATACATCACAAAATAGAGATGGTAATGAGGATCAGTACCAAGATAGGTTAGGTTGCAGGTGAAAGTAAGGTAACTCATTGGTTGGCCTCAAATAAGTTGTCCTGGATTATGTGAACGGATTCTCAGAGGTCCTTACAGGTGAATGAGAACTGGGCACTCATGGCTCAAACCTATAATAAAGCTTCAGGCTGGTTCTCACATGTCTGGTTTACAGTTCTTAGGAAATGCTGATAATCATTTACAGTAAGAACAATAATCATAACAATAGCAATCACTTGTTCAGTGCTTTCTGTGTCCTCGGCTACTGCAATATGCTCCAACTTGTTTCTTTAGAAAGAACCAAGTGGAAACTATTGGAGTACTTATTTCAGATTTGTTTAAACCATTAGCAAGCTGTGCTGTAAAAAATTATGTGAAGCATAAATGAGATTACAGTCACACAAAATCTTTCATTGTAGGGTGATGTAAACTCTTCCAAATAGGGAAGGTGCCTCTCAGGGCGAGGTCTTTGTCAATCTCTGAACCCTTTCCTTCTTCACTTTTTGTTCCCAGCCGGCTTCTTTGTCCCCTACAGAGCCTCACCTGCTTACTGTCTGAATTCCTCTTCATTGATTTAGGGCCCAAGGATGACAGCTGGTGCTGAGTCTCATGCACAGTGCTTTCTTCGCTGGCCTTGCCCTAGTGGGCCATGGTACTGCCTGCTGAGAAAGCAGCGCCTTCCATGGTGCCTGTGCTCAGAGACAGGTATCCGGCCTCAACACATACTCCTCACAATCCCAGCTGTGTTTGTGGACACTTAATCAGTGGGCATGCTTTGTCTATAATACATTACAGATTTTAACTTACAGCCTCCCTATTTGTATAGCCAACCAAATTGCAATTCCTACATACATTGAATTCCAGATAGGTAGGTAGGTAGGTAGGTAGGTAGGTAGATAGATAGATAGATAGATAGATAGATAGATAGATAGATAGATAGATAGATAGATAGATAGATAGATAGATGATAGACAGACAGATAGATTTATATATATATATATATATGTGTGTGTGTGTATATACATTTGTATTCCTTTTTGTATGGATCTTTCACCTCTCTCTCTCTCTCTCTCTCTCTCTCTCTCACTCTCTCTCTCTCTGTCTGTCTGTCTGTCCCTCTCTCTCTCTCTCTCTCTCTCTTTTGCTCTCACTTTCTCTCCTTACCTCCCTATCTCTGTGTCTCTCATTCTTAAACTGAGGGTAAGAATACTTGGTCTCAAGCATAATACCACCATGTTTACTCTATGATGTTGGACAGGTCAACTCATTTTCAATAGCTCTAAGATGAAATCTTAACTCTCTACCTTGCCAAATTCTGAAGTTTCTTTGGTTAGGCTGAAATGAAGAAGTAACTACTCTTTAATGTTTATCTCAGGTACTATATTAGAGTCTGAAACAGGGGTGAAGAAGGCAAATGAGGTCCTTCCCTCCCAAGGCCACTGACATTATGGTTAGAAAAACAGATGTTAATTAAGTCCTGTAGGTTAGTGCAGGTTGTGATGCATGTCTTGAAGGAGATGCATGTATGGATTGAAAACAACCAGAAAGGAGGTACTTTACACAGAACTATCTGGAAAATCTTCAAGGAAGTGACATGTGAGGTCATAATATTTAAAAGAAAGCCTACCACATACTGCTACAAATGTACTTTGTACATAGTAGTATGCCACATCAATGACTAGTAATCCTCCAATTGCTGATGCTATCACTTTACAACCATCTCTGTACTTTGCTGTGAGCTCCTCTTTTTTTGTTGTTGTTGCTGTTGTTCATTGACATCATTTATCACTTTCTCCTCTTCTGTTTCTGACTTGTGCCAGGCAAGTGTAGGTATTTGTCATCTGTCTGCTCTCTGTGGCGCTGTCTTCTGTGTGCTACACACAGCTGCCCCTCCCCCAGCTCAGGTCCTTTCTTGCTGATGCTTTGACCTCCTGCTCAAAGCAATTGATTTCCATTTCCAAGGCTTTGACTCCACGCTTGTAAATCTTTGTAGGCTGCTGCATTCTTCTGCTAGCCTACCTATGCTTCAGAACAGAAACAATTTTGATAGGAACCTTGTAAGCCCTTCATAAATGTCAATCACCTATCAAATAAATGGAATCTCTGAATCTTACTTAGCTTTAGGACTAAAGTAAGATAGACAGACAGACAGACAGACAGACAGACAGATAGATAGATCTTATCCCTGTGTTAAATGTGTATTAAAAACCTTTGCATATATATTAACATCTTACCTCTTATTCATAATTTATTTTAAAACTACACTATTTATTTGCTGTATGTTCAGGACTTTGTCATTAATCTCAGAGACACCTACAAGCATTGACAATGTCTCTGAGATTCTTCCTACATTGTCCAGCACAGAACACCAAACCTTTTATTATGTTCATTTATTTTGCTGAAGATAATGATAATCACTGAGATTCCAGTTTTTATCTTTAGCATTATAAGTAATCAACAATATTCATTCACGTTAGGAAGTAGGAACCTTTAAAGAAGATCTTTGTATTAAAGAAAATGTCATGTTTGCAGAATAAAGGAAAAACTGAAAGCGATGTTTCATATGAACAAAATTTTCACATATGTCTACCTATTTAGTCACCAGTGGCAGTAATAATTTAGTCACAGATAATTTGTAGCATTTCCTCAGCCACAAATGAAAAACAAGATGAACAACCTTAGTCCCAAAATACAAGATGCTCCATATCACCATTGTACCACAAGTGAAAAATGTTACTCCTGACCTCAAGCACACCAATAACATTGTATCAACTACCCTTTAGGTAATGTGTAAGGTATAAATGAAACATAAATAGATTTTGTGTTTAGGAGCAAGATATCTTCTTGTGTAAAGGCAAGTATTCAAACATATGAAAAAAGCTGAAATTTGAAACATTTTGGTCCTGTGCATCTTAGATTAGGGATACTTAACTTGTATTTACTTCTTAGAAAAAAAATAGATATGTGCTTAGAATCTTCAATGACAACTTGTTTCAAGAAGTGGATCTTAAGTTTGTTAAATATATACATATATGTAATATTTCCTGTGTTGATTAGAAATAACATATAAATGATTCTTTATCATTCTAGAATCTAGAATTCTAGAATCTTTTTAAGTAGATAGAATAATACATTGGGATGTTGTTGTTTCGATTATGTTCAGTAATTTAAGAACTAGTGCCCTGAATTTCATTGAGAAACTATAGGGTTCTCAACTGTGTGATCGGGTACAACTTCAGGACAGCAGTGAGGTTACTTACTATTTTATATTTGTTGCCTGGTGACATGTAACTGAAAAGTAATGTCACAGACTTTCATACAAACATACTGCCCCTGTTTCTGTCAAAGTAGTCACCTAGGAAGGCTGAACACTGGTCCCATTGAGGCTGCTGTGTCTTAGCAATGGTGTGAGAATACTTTTTAAACTATCTCTGAAACACTAAGAAATCATAGAAAGAAAAGTAATATATCTTTATCCATAATTGTGACAAAGATGAATTTGATTTTTGGTAAGTCATTCCAGAACCAAAGGCACTGAATAAAATGTGCCATCCTATGGCAATAGCAATATGAACTTTCTTTAATGTATCTAAAAAAAAATCATTATTGGATTTGATAGTTGAAGAGTAATTCCAGAACTCTGGACCTTGGAATGAAAGTATAAGCTCCCAAGGTGACTACTATGAAGAGCAATACTTGTTTAGGTGGGAAAAAAAAAAACGAACCAATGTGTATATGTTTGCAAAATAAGATCAGTTTTATTACTTTATAGACATACCTTGTAGATGAAAAAAATACTCCTATCATGGAACTCTTTATAAGCAAACTTCCGAATGTAAGTAGAATTTCTGTCTCATCCTTTCTAAGCCTGTTGAGAAATCTGAATTTCTAATAATGATTTACTAATTTTAAAAAAAATATTGTTTGCCATTTTTAAAAAGTGAAGGCTCTACAGTTTCACTTCACCTTTTTTGGAATAGCTTTGCACCTCTGCTCTTCAGTTTTTAATTTAATATATTCATGTTTGTTCACCCTGAAAGGCTCAAAATGTAATTTCTTGCCTTTATATTTTCATCAAACTATTGATCCACACTAGAAAATAACATCAGAGCTGCCAATTATTAATTGCTACATATTGTCACGAGCTCTTTTGTTTGATTAGCAGTGATCAAATACCTATTCTGGTTTTTTTTGTTTTTTTTTTAGTGGAATCCTATTATCTTGGCAAACTAGAACATCAGTTAAGAGACAATTCTCAACTTTGAAAATTTATACAAAATAATATGTCAACATTAGGCTTTACTAGTATGTTTTGCATTCTTACTGAAATTTAAAACAACAACAACAACAGTTCAACCAAATTGCTAAAGCCATGTTTCTATAATGCAGATTCTACCCGATTCATGGTCACTGCTGGGGGGCAGCTAAGATGTCCTGCTTGATTTTGGACTTTTCCAAATTCATACACCACATCCATCTTTATCCAGGTCATCTAGGCCCCTATTTCTTCATTGCTGAGTTGTAGGAATAAAAATAATTAAAAAGCACAGAGCATGGAAGGCAGAGAAAATTGTTATCCTTTTGCAAAGAGTTGAAGGCAGCTAAATTGTGACACAATTTAAACTTCAAACTTGACAAGTTTGATTGGAAAATTATGTGACCCTTGTAGTCACAGATCTAAATGGTCACTAGTTTATACTTTTAAAAAGTCATAGAGTGCTGTTTTTCTTTTCTTTTTTTTTTTTTTAGCCACAGATTGGTAGAATATGATTTTATCTTGCCTGATAGTAACTATTGTACAAATATTACTGTTTTGCAGTTTGGTGATTTAAATGCTGTGTCTCCTGGAAATCTGGATAAAGGTAAGAACTGAAAGTAATATATCTTTTTTAGACTTTTTTAGACTTACTACTCTGGAAATCACATAGAAATTGAATGAATGTGACAGTCTCTACCTTTTGGAAGCCTTTACCATTTCATCCTTACACTCTATCCCCATGTCTTCTTTATGGGCTGTCCAGTAAATGCAGAAAATTGAATTCAAATGCAGTTCCAAACTTTAAGAAAAGAACTTTGCAACACATTCTTTTAAAAATTTCAAGACATTATTTCTGGCTGTGGCTAGAATTCTAGAAGAAAATCATAAAATGGGGATGCTGTTTCGCTGGGCACTGGTTGCTTACATCTATAGTTCTAGCTACTCAGGAGTCTGAGATGTGGATAGTAGAACTTCAAAGCCAGCTTGTGCAGAAAAGCACAAGATTCCATCTCCCGCTGATCAGCACACTGTTGATCTGAGTAAAATACCACGAAAGGAAAACCTACAAGCTCTGTCCCCTGAGAAATGGCCAAGTGGCATCGTAATAGAATACCGAAGTGTTTCTCAAGCACCTGTTGATGGCTATTTCCCAATTGGTCTCCTGCTAGTAGTCTTGGTCTATTATGTGTTTGTGCAGATGAAGGCAGTGAAGTAGAAAGTGAGATGGATGAAGAACTGGACGACTCCTCGGAGCCACAAGCCAAAAGGGAGAAGACAGAGCTGAGCCAGGCCTTCCCAGTGGGCTGCATGCAGCCTGTCCTGGAGAGCAGCGTGCAACCAGGCCTTCTGAACCCAATCCACAGTGAGCATATTGTCACAAGTACACAGACTATCCGACAGTGCAGCACTACAGGAAATACCTACACTGCAGTCTAAAGAATATTAAAGCATATTTTTACAGCTTACAGTAACCCTGTTGATATTGGGCTTAAGTTGAAAATTTCATAAGCCTGAAGGTCGACTGTTGTCAAATTCTATCTGTGCTGAACATTACCTTTTTGGAGTTGTGAAATGGAATGGGTGTATGTATTTTGCCAGGTCTTTTTTTTTTTTAACATAAACAAATTATTTGCCTCTTAATGATGAGTTTTTTTTTCCCCTTAGTTTCAGGTGTCAAGAAGGATTTTTACAACATTTAATGTAATGTTTTTTGTTTTCTTATAATTAAAAAGTAAATTACTTTTTGTAGCTTAAAATATTTTATTGTTGATTGTTAGTCTTGGTGTATGATTTCATGTGTAAGTTTTTTAATTAGATGCACTTCTGTGAAATATCAAAAGAAATGAATCTCTTTGATTGACACTGGAGGCATGCCCATTTGGCAGCAGATGCATCAATTTTGCTTTTGAAAGGTGCTTTCCACTGGACAGAACCATGAGACACTATTTTGATAACATTTTGGATTAGGGAGAGAGAATACAGAGCATTTTTAATATAGTGCTAGAGGGTTGGAAAGGTCATCTATTTTTCTCGGTAGAAAAATTGAGCTGTGCATTTATCAGTTCAGAGTAAATGACAGAATTGCAAGAGAATATGCTAATATGTACATAATTTGTGTACATAATTATTAAACCATATTAACAATGCAAGCTTCCGTTAGATATTGAATTTTAACCATTATTTGCATACCAATTCCTCTGTTTGAAGACTACTGATTCTGTATTTGGGACCACTGCACACAGATGCATTCTGCTGTTAAGTGGGGCTGTTAGAGTTAGATACTAAAGCTGATAAAAATGACTTGACTTTTTTTTTTTAAGTGTACATGCTACTTATTCTGAGCTGGACATACAGGAAACCATTCCATTTGAATGACTTTCTTTTATTCCAGGTCTTTTTTTCTAATAGTAGTTCAATATGCTGCTATTATAAAAGAAAAATTATAGAATGCAAGGAATGTAGCAACCTGCATATCGTTATTTCCTTCGAAACGATTTCCTGGTTTCTAAAGTATGTGGATTTAAATTTTAAACTGAACCTGAAGGCAGTGTAACTGGCACACCTCACTGTTACGTACCCCAATTCTATAGGATTTGGACAGGTGGCTGGGATGGACCATTGCCATTGAAGAATGTACATCAGGGATCATTGTACCTCGGCTATTACATGGTGCCTTAAAACAGAACTGAAGCTAAGGTTTAGTAAGGTTTATTTTATTCATGTGAATAACTCTTCAATCCATTTGACAAAGTGTGCCTGTCATTTTCAGATTCCTGAAGTAAGGACAGGTTACATGTTCTTCAAAGGAAGTGTAGGGAAAGTGAAGCAAAACAAAAAGATAGAAATCACTTCCCTTCTTTGAGTGACCATGAACCTATTTTTTATTCTTAGAGCTAAATATTACTTCATTACGAATCAAATTGCTTAAGGGTGTGGAATAGCAGACTAATTTTTAATGCCAGCTTATTACATAGAAATCATGTTTTAGACCAGTCTTATCTAGTTAGCATTCTAGAAAGTCAACAAAATAAGCAGGTACTTATTGAAGTGCATCTTTTCAGTCTAAATGTTTGTCTTTCTATCTGGGTGTCTTTGTGTCCATGCATACCCACGCGGGTACCCATGAGGCAGGAGTCTGTGACAAAGTCAGAAAGGGGACATCCTGGTGAACACACACCCATCCCCACGTGAATTTTCATGAGGAGCCAAGGTTCTTTTAAGCACTCAAGTTATTAACAACAGAAAAGGCACATCTTTTCATTTAAATAGTTGTAAAACACCAATCCGCAAAAGTCAATAAATAACTACTATAAAGCCAAAAAATAGATAAATAAAAAAGGAAAGCACAAAATTATTTACAGATTACTAATGAGGCTTATGTTAAACTGAAGATGTTTATCTCTCCAGTGGTATTGGGGCGGGGAAGGTTGGGAAGAAGAGTAGGCCAATCTGTAAAGTTGAAGATACCAAATGGCTTATCAGGTAACAGCCCATATTCACAGCATACTGGCAATGTTGTTACCTCATTGCCTCTGACGCCTCAATATGAACAGCATTTCGTAAACAAAATTTAAATGTTTTAAATATAATTTTTAAATCAATTCACTTCAAGTTTTGCATCATACAATACTTGTACATATCTGGTAGTCTTCACTAGCATCGCCTTCATCTAAATACCAGTTAAATGATCATCCCCCCTTTTCCTCCAAAAAGATCAAGGAATTTGCATCTCACATATACCCGTACACACACACACACACACACACACACACACACACACACACACACACACACACACACACACACACACACACACACACACAGCAAAATTTTAAAAAGACAATGGAAAAACAGTGTACACTGCAAAAGACCGCTATCTGCTTCATCATACATTAGGAAATGTTTACATAGAAAATTAAAGACTACAAAAAGGAAAAACACTTTTCATCTTGATTCTCCTTTCTGAGTTTTTCAGTTTCCTGTCTCTATTTGGCTGTCCCCATAACACTATTATATCTGTATTGGACCAAATGTATTCACTTGTTTTCATCTTGTTTATTGTTTGACTTTAAATGTACTTGTTAACATTGTTCTGTTTAATTTAATTAGATATATATATATATATATATATATATCATTAGGGAAAAATCAGATAATAATGAACAAATTTAGATTCATAAGAGTTAGGAATTGGGGACCCTCCAAGATTCGACATTTCTTCCAGTTGTTCATGGTTTGTTTAAATGAGGACAGAGTAGAAATTAATATTATCATGTTTGACATGATCTCAAAAGTATTCTGATCTCCTTTAGGAATACTTGCAATACTAATTCTTTATGGCTAGCATAGATAGTCCTGACCAACGCACAAAAAAAATGACTGTGGTTTATACCACTTCCAGTTAGGTACAGTTCCACAGTAAGACTCCTCATTAAGTGGACACATGTATTAAGCCCTCTCACCCAGACATTTCCATCAACTTTGAATCTGAATTGTGAGATATGTTAAAAAAAAAAAAAAAGTAAAATCCATAATTTGCATACTGGAACACCATTGTAGCCATCACATTTGTATTTACTTGACGTTTTATTTCAATTTTTTAATTCATTGAAACTGACATTTTAAATTGTATTAGCCACTAATACCCATGAATTACATTTATTAAATTATACATGTACACATTTTGAGGATTTATTGGTATTTCTTAATTGGCGTTATTATTGGAATAGTAATCAAATACTAGTCACGAAATATATCTCCAAAATTCAAGTGCTATATTTGCAGTAAGAAAAAAAACATAAGAAAGATATATTGGCTTTTGTTTGACGTTTCAGCAAGGATTTTTCCATATAATAAAATTCAGTATCCTGGGTATGGTTTGATCTTGATAGGGACTTTGTATATCATACCCCAGTATTTATGTATAGGCAAACAATGAACAAGAGGATGGAATGGATGAACTGTCTGGAACACAGGGCCCAATTTTCCATTTTTCGTTGCATACCAAGTTGCTGGTCACTTTTCAAGATTTCATCCAAACTGTGATTGGACTGTCTGTATAAGTCTTACTGCCTTTTCAGAAATCTGCTTTTCTTTTTGTGCTTTTTCTTGTACTGTATAGCACGGTTCATGCACCTCTCTTTAGATGGTGTACTTTAAAAAAAAAAGTAAAATTTCAAAAATGGTTGTATCACTGCATACCTAAAGTTAGTAGTGTGCAGCATTGGCTGCCTAAATGAACACACATTCTCGCAGAATGTTGTGAAAGTCATTCAGGAATGAATATGGTTTTGTACCGTCATCATAAACTTTTTTATGTAAATGCACTGTATAAAAGTGCTAAATTCATTTTCAGATTTAAGAGAATTATTCAGAGGATATATTTGAAATGTCGAAAACAATGCTGTACTTAAAACATTAGTGTCAAGGAAAAAAATATGTCACTGTGATGTGGGTCCTCCTAGTGTGGACACAAGTAGGAAGGAAAAAACTTGGCCAGTCACCTTTCTATACAAAGTGAGGCAGTGGTGATAGATGATGGATTGGTTTTTTTTTTTTTTTTTAGTGTAACTTCTTCCCCCATTCCCACATTCTTTTGAAAAAAAGTAGTAAACATCCAAAAATTGAAATCAGAGCTTTTGTGATCTCTACGAATCATACCAGAAAATGGGGGAGGAGGGCTAGTGCTGTGCTACTGAAAACCAAGCTTTTTGCTAGACCACAACAACCTCCATGTGTATGATTAGAACAAATCAATAAAATGAGTTGTAGTATTTCTGCAAGTTTGGTGATTTGAGAAATCTGGAATCGAAGCATTCATTCAGCGCTTAGGCCTATTATTAGAAAACCCCTTATGTAATGCCTTGTAGTAACCCTTTGAGCATTGTTAAGATATACAATGGGGGATAAAAGCCTTTCAGATCATTTATTTAGACTTATTATATTAGACCGGTAAAATATACTCTATATCCAAATATCTAATTATGCTGTTTTTTAAAGGGGGGGTGGTTAGGAAGATAAAGTGTTTCCATGCCGAACACTTACGTTTTATATTCAACTGTTAATTTTCCTTCAAGAGGGCTTGATATATTTATTCCCAAATATTCACTGCCATCCAAGTAAAGTGTACTGTTTACAGAAAACAAAAAACTCAACTTTTCTAGCATCGCATCATGAATCTCTAGAAAAGGAGGACAAATACATGGGCCTGTGTGTAGATCTGTGTCAGAGCTGGTGTCTGCACATTGGAGGTACCTAGCTTGCCTTTAATTAAAGGTATGATAAAGAAAGGGTTATATTTCTTTTTTTCTCCCCAAAATCAAAGAAACAAATAAAAGATTTCATTTATTTAGCTTTAGAAAGTACAAGAGTAAGTGAAGCCTTAGGAAGCCAAAGAGTTCCCATGAGCACGGACTCCGAACTCTTTGCGGGGCAGTTAGGCTATTTTTGGACTGCATCACTCATAAAATATTGTTTGGGAATTCATACAGGGCATAATTTTATCTATGCTCCAAAACTTTTAATACTTTGTCAGAAAAAAAAATTTATATCTAGATAGAATGGAGAGCAGAGCACTTGATTCTTAAGCTCATCTGTCAGGAGATGCGATGGATACTGCTCTGGTATCTCTAGAGGTCAGTCCGCCTACATTCAAGGGAATCTCTGTGCATTTGACCCTCTCTGTCCCCTGCGTGAACCAACAGGGGGGCAGCGTTGTCTGCAGATGCGCTTGCGTTGCCCTCCTTGGGCACAAACAAAGAGTATGACCTATTCTCGATGTCTGGCGAAAGGCCATCATAGCATAGTGCAAGTATGCCGTGATCATTGTTCTTTAGGCAGTTTAGGAAGTCAGACCATGCAAATTACTCATGTGATAACACGCAATACTCAAAGGGTTTTAATTTAACTCTTCTTTTGAATTCTTCATAATGATTTACTGTAAATGCTTCTCAGTTTGCATGCCTTGATCATTGCTGCTAGTGATTTTATGTGCCAGTAGACCTGAGTTTAGTTTACCAATTTTACTTAAATAGTAAAAGCCACTTACAAAGTGACTGCCTAGGATTTTTTCCCTTTTGTTTAAAGAACTTGGTAATAATGTCTTTTTTTTTTTCAAAACAAAACAAAACAAAAAATGTTGTGTCCTCTTATTTGGTTCTGGTATTTGATTCCCCCCCCCCATCTTTTTTTTTTTTTTTTAACAAAGTATAATGTTGGGATTGGAAGCCCTGAGTAATGAAATATTTGGTAAGAATTGTTTATATAGCTCAATGAGGACAAATCTCTGTCAGAAGAATTTTGTCGCCAGAGAGGAAAGAAAAAATTTTTGAACTTAGATTGATTGTTTATGACAACCAAGTAAAAATTTCCTTCAATAAATTAGTGTTTCTGAGCAAATGATTGCCTTGCTTTTAACCTGCTGAACACAATTTTAAAGAATCCAATAAAGGAAGTATTGAATTTTATTCATTTAAAAAGCATCTTTTGTACCAAAGCAAATTTTTTTCTCTACTCATCTCCATCATCAATTTGGACCTATGTTGGTGACCAATGCGTTGGTTACAGAAACTTTTAAGTGAGTGCCTTGAGAAAACTTGGAAATTTGTGCCTGAGGTGGTAAACTTTTAATTAGGTTAATTGTAGTGCTTACCAATCAGTAATTCTACTATCACTCAGGGCTTTCGTACCTTCTAGGTAAAACTTCTTCATTGTGTTTTTTTGAGATACTGTATTTTTTTTAAGTGCCATCATTTAAATTTCACTTAGTAAGTGGCAGATTACATTATTCAGTCCCACAAGCACAGAAACATAGTAACACTAGGAGATATTTCAACATTTATTTTACAATCGACTGAATATATTATGTAAATGAGGTAAGCAACTTTTGTAGAGATTGTATGTGTGAGATAATGTAATGTTCTTTTCCAGTTTTTGGACTACAGTTGAATAAACTTTTTAATTATTTAAAAACATCTTTACCGAATAACATGTGATGGTTTTTTTGTATAATGTATTTGATTTTGTAAATACGTATTTCCTGATGTGATTTTTGTGAGAAATGCTAAATCTTTTAGTATATCATGTCCTCTCAAAATTGGCAGGAGCTAAATAATAGTTTGTGGGCGATTTGTATTGTGTACTGTACAATAACTGGGGAACTTTTATAATTATAAAAATATATATTAACTTTTAGTGTGTTGTTTAAACAAATGACTGGAACATACTAAAGATATTAGTAGGATTTTTCTGAATATTTCAGACTTGAACTCAGGCTAGCTTTCTTGTGTTTTTCAAAACAAAATGGTGTCTTGTCTTTTAAAATCAATAAATTTGTTTCCTTGTTACAAATACATTCGAAATGTTTTTTTTTTTTTCCTCCCAAATCATTGCCAAGAATCTTGTCTTACATCCTCTCATCTAGAGGGTAGTATCTGTGTCATTCCTTAGCTTAGAAACAAAATTGTTTTTCTCTTTCTATGTCAAAAGAAATTTTCAATATTTACACATGAACAGCATAAAAAGAGAAAACAAAATTATAAGCCCAGCAGGATACATATCTTACCCTCAAAGAAAATTAGTGATTGAGTGCTATTTAATTTCAGAAGCTGTCAACATTTCCATTGTAGATCCAGACTTTTGGATGTTCATAATGTGTTTGTTTCGTGTCACTTCACATTGATATTTGGCAATCCAGTTTCCTGCTTGAATTGAAATAGCATATTAACATTCATTTTAATACACTTAAGAAAATACCCTGCC